GGGGGGGGGGAATGGAAAGGAGGGGAGGAGAAAAAAAATGGGACAGGAAAGAGGATTTCTACGGTCTATGCAAGACTAGGTCAGAACTGGCTCAGTCAAATTATTAATGTCTATAAATACTAGCCCCAAGGCCTGCCAACAGCCGTTACCAAGTACTGGGTTCATTTATTTATTTTTTTTCCTTGTAATTTTCCTTTTTTTAAGTTAAAAAACACGACCAACAGCTGGGTGGAAACAAAATTCTGAAATTCCAAAGTTGGGTCTCTACAGCAGAGGGGGGAAAAAATCTTTTTTCTTTTCCCGCCCCCTTCCATAGAAAATAAAGCAAGTTGCCGTTGCTGCCGCAACGCATCAGAATTAAGTAGACACACGCACGCACCCCCCAAAAAACAAACTAAAAAAGGAGAAGCCGTGCATTGTAATTTACAATGCAAAGCAGGGGCGGGGTGAGGAATACACACACCGGGAGGAGGCCCATAGCATCTCTGCTGAGGGTCCGTAACAAAGTTCTCCGAAAGCCAGCACAAAAGCTGTTACCGGTGGGACGGGGGTGGGGGAGCGGCCCTAGCACTGCTTCACAATTAAGATCTGTAAAGTGCATGTGGGGTTCTTGTAACTGAACTGTGCGGAGGTGGGGTGGGATGGATTCGTTGAAAAAATACGATTAAATTAAAAAAAAAAAGCTATTGGCTGAGCAATGCTACATATAAAAAAAGGGGAAGGGAAAATAAACAGTCTCCAAATTCAGGGCTCCCACTTGGCCCAAGCATGCACAGCACACACCCCCCCCCCACCCACCCCGCCAGGCTCCACGCCGGCCTGTCCTGTGCATGCTTGGGGCGTTCACAGCAAAATGAGCAGCTTTGATAACCCACAGGTCCCCTCCCTCCTCCGACGAGCGAACGCACCGCTCTGCAAAAAAAATAAAAAAAAATAAGTAGGAAGTCCGGAGGCTGCGCCATTCGCCAGGCAGGCTGGGTCAGTGTCTCGGGCGTGGGTTTTCTTGGTTCGGTGGCGGCGTAAGGCAGGCATGTTAGAATCCACGTCTTCGCAAATGGGAGCAAAACCAAATCCAGTTCGCTCGCTTGGAACTCGGGCGCTGCTGCTCCCAGCCCCGCGGGGCCGGGAGCGCTCCCGTCCCCCCCGTCCCCTCCCCTCCCCTCGGAAAAACAAACCAGGAACACAACAAAACGAGACCAAACGTGGGGCGACCTCTCCGAGACTTTCCCGACAGATCGCTCAGGTCCGCCCAAGGCATCCGGCAGGGAGGGAGGAGACCCAAGCAGTGGGACAGAAGAGATGAGAGTCCTGGCTCTCCCCAGTGGGGTCCGTCCCACCATAGGCCTGGGGTCTATGCTATGACAAATTCCGATTTCAGGTCCGCCTTGACTTCCGGCTTCCACACCGAATCCTCGAAGTCTAGGTCCAGGCTGCCCTCGCTAGACACGCTGCTGTTGCTGTTGGTCCGAAGAAGGGGCGGGGCTTCGGGAAGAAGGGGCGGGGCTTCGGGAAGAAGGGGCGGGGCTTCGGGAAGAAGGGGCGGGGCTTCGGGAAGAAGGGGCGGGGCTTCGGGAAGAAGGGGCGGGGCTTCGGGAAGAAGGGGCGGGGCTTCGGGAAGAAGGGGCGGGGCTTCGGGAAGAAGGGGCGGGGCTTCGGGAAGAAGGGGCGGGGCTTCGGGAAGAAGGGGCGGGGCTTCGGGAAGAAGGGGCGGGGCTTCGGGAAGAAGGGGCGGGGCTCAAAGGACTGCAAAACCATTGGGATGGGAGCGCTCCCTTGCCAGTTTCAGCTTGGAAAAGAGACAACCGAGGAGGGGCCTATGAGAGAGGCCTATAAAATCCTGATTGGCGTGGAGAAAGGAAACAAGGAAGTGTTACGTACTCATCATAAACACAAGAGCTAGGAGTCACCCCATGAAATTAATAGGCAGCAGGTTTAAAATAAACCAAAGGAAGTTCTTTTTCCCCCCCACTCAGCGCACAGTCAACCTCTGGAACTCCTTGCCAGAGGATGTGGTGCAGGCCGAGACTAAAAAAGGGTTCAAAAGAGAGACAGATACCTTCACGGGGCACCTGGCATTGGCTGCTTTCGGCAGACAGGACACTGGGCTAGACGGGCCTTTGGTCTGACCCAGTGTGGCTGTCCTGTTGTTCTTCAAGGGACCCAAAGCAGAGTTGGGAGTGAAAAACTCTCTTGCATCAAATCAAGCACCCCAGTTTGAGAGCACCTCTCAAAGGGTCTACAAGCACCACAGGAACCAGCAGGCGAGGATCACCACAGTTGGGGAAACCGAGGCACAGCGCAGGAACGATTTAACTGCTAGCCCTGGCAGAGCACTAAAAGACAAGCTAGAGAGAACAGCGTTGCCTTTTTAGGAAAGCCTGTTGGATCCAGGTGCTACAAGGTCACCTGGTAGGTCAGGGGCGGAACTAGGTCTAGAACAGGAGTCCTGAATCCCAACTCTCTTCTCCAACCACTAGACGCCGCTCCTCTCCCACAGCTGGCATCCAGGCCCCCTGTCCCCGCACCCCCTTAGGTAGCATGCGTCAAGCTCCAATTCTAGCATCTTTCTTCCTCTACTTTGGGATCCTGCTGGTAAGAACCTGGACCGGGGGGGAGGGGCGGGGGTTGCCAAGCCCTACCCCACACACAATGATTTACCCTTCCCCTCCTGGAGTACAGGCCCGAAAGCTTCGCTCCCAGGCCTGCCCCCAAAGCGACACCCTCTCCCCAATTCTCAAGCAGTTCCCAGTGTGTTTCATCGCCATGGAAACAGCAGGGGGGTTGGGGAGAGGACCCCCCCCACACACACATCCCCTTCCTATAGTCAAGGAGAGGTAGAGCAGGTGGGGGGTGGGGGCCCAAGGCAAGGGAGGCCATTTTGAACGGGCCCTTCCAGCTCCTGGCGGTACTAGCCCCCCTAGAATCTCCTCTTCAGGCCCCTAAAATGCTGCTACCCCAAGCCTCTAAGTAGAGGGACAGGAGGCTGCAGAGCCCAGACCCATGGCCTGTCCTCAGCAGAGCGGAGAGGGGGGCTACTAAGACACCCCCCATCAAAACTGTCTTCTGGGGGTGCTGCAGCCCCCC